TTCCTGAAGCGAAAGCTGTTCCCCAGACGTAGAATGAACAAGCAAACCAACCCTGAGCGAGTGTGATGGAGGAAATCTACGCAGTCCTTCCTCCTTTTCTCCACCCTGCACTCCAACCTTCACCCACTGCCGTCCTCCTGTGAGGACAGTCGGCGGACCTTGGAGCTAAGTGGACTGAAGCTTAGTCAGTGCCTGTGTCGCACGTGCGACAGAGACCGGTTCGAGTTGGTGATGATTTTCAGTTAATGGATGAATTGCAACCGGCGGATAGAGCCAAAAAGCAGCCGTGGTTAAAAAGCCTGCACCTCTTCACTCTCTCCACTGGGGGCAGCAGAGACTTTGTTAAATTCACTTAACACAAACAAATACTCTTTTCAACACTGTAGACACTCCTGTCAGGTACAGCCGTCTGTGTTTTTTTTTTAACCGTGGGATGTTAAAAGTGTCGAACGCTCGTTAGCAACGGGTAAGAAATGTGTGTACTTGTGTGTAACGGTGTATTTTTGGGTGTCACTTTTATCTTTCACAGCAACATTTTATGGGTGATGCTTAAATTGTCGACAGAATTGAATTTTTCATATAGGGAAAAAAAGCCAAAAAAAGAAGAACTAGTGGTTATCAAATGATGGGTCATGACCCGAAAGTGAACAGAAGAACACTGGATAAAACCAAACCATTTTGTCCAGTCTCTTAACTAAACTGTGCTTTATCTGGTAGAAACTTGTGCTATTGGTATCTCTGTATCTCAAACTGCAGAGCATTTTTAGCATGTTTTCTACGTAGAATGCTTCAAAAAATTAATTAATTTTTCATATTTTTTTGTGTGTTTTTAAAATGGAATTCTTTGCAACAAAAAGCCTAAAAGACTCAGGGAAAGTCTGGGTCCCGTGTCCTGATCATTTGAGAACCACTGCTGGAACACTCTTGTCTGCTTTTCACTGTCATATTACTGTAGAAGTGTGTGGTGGAGCCGGGCGGCGGGGTCAGGTTTTTAAACCGAAGACTTTTAACGGTCTGCAGATTTTGAGCCTAAACGACTTCCATTAAAGAAGAAACATCGTGAAGTACAGGTTCATTCAGTATAGGAAGGATTATTTTACGTTGTTGTCATG